TGGGGAGGGGCAAATTTGGGAAGCACTGCTATTTCTCATGCTCCCTGAACTTCAGTGGCTCAGAATCCTCCTCCTGCCTGCATCTATGTCCAAGGTTGGTGGAGTGCCTTCCTTAGGTAAATGCTACCTTTCACCCTTTCACTCTGAAGGTATTTGTTAGGGTTTGCTTCCCAAAGTAGAGCTTTCTTGATCCACCATAGACTACAGAAAACAGGTATCTTAGCTATCAAGAGGTTTTACGTTAAGGTTATCAAAGAATTAAAATCTCACTTGCTTTACTTAGGGGGGTACTGTCATTTACTAAATGCTCTCCATAAGTTTCCTGAAGTATTGTACCTTTTAACTTCTGATGTTCTCTGCTTTCTATTATATTCATGTGACTTAGTATCAGATATTTATAGAAGAGTCATGATACAGGCCTTAGTTTCTTTGTAGCTAAGAAAGATTGTCTAGCCCTACCTGGTTTGGCTCAGTGGATAGAGCATCGGTCTGTGGACTGAAAAGTCCCGGGTTCAATTCCAGTCAAGGGCACATGCCTTAGTTGCAAGCTCGATCCCCAGTGTGGGATGTGCAGGAGGCAGCCAATCAATGATTTTCTCTCATCATTGATGTTTCTCTCTCTCCCTCTCCCTTCCTGTCTAAAATTAATTTAAAAATATGTAAAAAGGAAAGATTGTCTAGTGGTTAGAGGGCTCTAACCACTTTGCATGCCAGACTAAATAACTTAAAGCAAATATCTTCTTAGTTTTTCCTATCCTTATTTCATTATCAATGAAAAGAACCAGTAACTCTTGTTCATGAAGTAATTTTAGGCACTGAGGTAAAAGTTGTCAATAGGTATGTTATATTTCTAGGAATTCTTTAAGAGATGTGAGGTACCCCTAGATAAGCTGTATCACTTAGCCATTAAACTTTTTATACTTCTAAGAAGATATTATGCTTTCTTGACCAGCTGGGAACAGAAAGATGCCATGTGGATGCTGAGCAGCTACAGGGCATGTCTTAGCTCTCAGTAACATTTTCTTGCCCATGGGGCATTTCTCTAGAATGAACATAATTTATTCTTTTGAAAAACACAATAACTTTCCTGGAGTTAGACATCATGTTTGTGAATTGAGAGTTGGTCTTTGTTAATACCCTCTGACAGTTTACATTTTTGTTAAACAACTAGGAGAGCCATGCCTTTTCCAGTTGTAGTAAGTTTTACAGTACTTGAATTTGTCAGTGTCACCCCTCATTAGAATCACCTTTCCAGGAACAGCTCTTTGATGATAACTGAAACCTAGATTCATGAGATAGAATGAATTCTTGGAAATTAGCAATTTATTTTTCTCTGCACAATGAGTATAAATCAGACATAACAAATCTCTCTCTAGTCACAGCCCTTTAAGGTTCATTTTTCTCAAGCAACTCATCATTTTCTTCTATTTTATGTAATGCCTCTGCAGCACATGAAGGATGCTATGTTAGTATTTCTATTTTCTATTACTTTTATTTTTCTACTAGAGGCCCGGTGCACAAATTCGTGCACAGGTGGGGTCCCTCAGCCTGGCCGGTGAGAGAAGCCTATCCGGGCGACAGCCGGCTAGGGGGAGGGACCCCAGGAGGTTGGCTTGTGATGCCCCGATCAGGGCCATTAGGTGGGCCCGCAGGCCAATCTCCTGCGGTCCTTCCTCCTTGCCAGACAACCCTCCCCCCTCCGATTGGGGCCACTGAGGGGAGAGGAACCAGCCAGGGGGAAGGGCCATAGGAGGTTGGCTGTGGGAGCACACTGACCACCAGGGGGAAGCTCCTGCATTGAGCATCTGCCCCCTGGTGGTCAGTGCACGTCATAGCGACTAGTTGACCGGTCATTCGGTCATAGCAGTCACTTAGGCTTTTATATATATAGATTGCTTCTTAACTATGAATGATAGCATTGAGTAGCTCACTTTTTTCAAAGTTACTTTTATTTATCTTTAGTGAAAACAATATAGAAATCATTATTTTTCCTGATAAAAGCAATAAAAAAGGAGGATATTAATTTAGATAGTTATTACCTATGGCATTAAATAGTAAGAAATATATTTGAAATATTTATAATCCCTGTAAGTGGAAGTATTTTTCACCAGACACCTTTGGATATTTCCTGTATTATGGCCCATTTGGAGCTAACCTGGCAAGGAATACACAGCTCAGTGCTGAGGAGATTTTAACTGGCATCAAGTGGCCTCTAAATGATTATAAGCTGCTCCAAAATACACAATTCTCATATTTACACTTTTTGAAAAAGTGACTTTCCCACTGTGATCTTGATCATTTCCAATGTTTTCATGCCTCCCTGAAGACCTGCATTGACATCTGGTAGCACTTCCCTTCAGTCTGAAGAACTTTCTTCAGCATTTCTTATGGTGCAAGTCTTTGGGTGACAAATTCTTGCATTTACATTTATCTAAAAATATATCTCATCTTCCTTTTTGAAAGATATTTTCTCTGAATATAGAACTCTGAGTAAATAGATATTTTTATTTTCTCCTGTACTTTAAAGATATTGTTCCCCTGACTTCTGGCCTTTGTTGTTTCTAAAAAACATCAAAATATTCTATTGATAATGCCCTGCATTTAATGTGTTGTTTTTTTCTGGCTGCTTTGAAAATTTCTCTCTTTTTTAAAAAGTTTTATAAGACATAAACAACATACAGTACTGTAGTTTAAGATGTAATTAATGACTTTAATTACATGTATTGTGAAATGATTACCACAATAAATTTAAAGAGTTAAAGGTTTTCAGCAGTTTTACTATGATATTCCTAGTCATACTTTTTTCACACATATCCAGGTTTGGATTCACTGAGTTCTTTGAATATATAATCTATTTCATCAAATTTGAGAAATCTGCCCTGACTGGTTTGGCTCAGTGGATAGAGCATCGGCCTGCGGACTCAAGGGTCCCAGGTTCGATTCCGGTCAAGGGCATGTACCTGGGTTGCGGGCACATCCCCAGTGGGGGGGGGGGGGCCTGCAGGAGGCAGTTGATTGATGTTTCTCTCTCATCGATGTTTCTAACTCTCTATCTCTCTCCCTTCCTCTCTGTAAAAAAACAATAAAATATATTTTTAAAAAATTGAGAAATCTTCAACTATTTTTTCTTCAAAGATTTTGAATAATTTAGTTTCCCCTATTTCTGTGATTCCAGTTAGTTTCTCTCTGTTCTTCAGATTGGGTAAATGTGTATTGTTCTCTTTAAGTTCTCTCTTTATTTTGTCATCTGCATTCTACTGTTAGGTTTATCCAATTACTTTTATTTCAGATATCTTCAGATATTGTATTTTTCAGTTTTAGAATTTCCATTTGGTTCTTTTTAAAAGTTTCTATTTCTCAACTACGGTTTACTACCTTTTCATTCATTATAAATATATTTTCTTTATGTCACTGAGATAATTATAATAGATGCTTTAACTCCTTGTCTGCTAAATGCCGTATCTGGTTGATTTCAAGTTTGGTTTCTGTTGATTGTCTTTTCTCTTGAAGATGGATCATCTCATCCTATTTCTCTGTGTCATGTACATTGTGAATATTTTTTTTCTTTTTTTTAACATATTTTTACTGATTTCAGAGAGGAGGGAGAGAGAGGATAGAAACATCAATGATGAAAGAAAATCATTGATGGGCTGCCTTCTGCACGTCCCCCACTGGGGATTGAGCCCACAACCTGGGCATGTGCCCTGACCAGAATAGAACCATGACCTCCTGGTTCATAGGTCGATGCTTAACCACTGAGCCACGCAAGTTGGGCTGAATATTTTTTCTTTTAAAACTCTGGATTATTTTATGTTCTTCCAAAGAATGTTGACTTTGCCCTCCTTTGTTTTAAATGGTTAATTTTATTTATTAGAGTTAAGCTAAAAATTATCTAAGATGGCAGCTCAAATCTCAATTCAGTTCTTTTAGCCTTAACTGTGTTGTTTGGAATCTGCACTGTGCTTCTATGATTCATGGGTTATATAGAAATTTGAATAGATCTTATTCACAGAATTTGAATTTCTCTATCTTTGGCTCTCTTCGTTCTGAGACTGTGGTTACCCTGCACTCTCTTATTTATTTCTTTAAGATATAAAGAACATGGATTTTCTATTAAAAATTTAGCAGTCCTGTGAGGTGATCTGCTCCCAGACTAAAAGGCTCTTTAAAAACTGGGAGACCCACACCCTTCTTCCAAGTGTCAGCTCCTCTTCAGAATATGCCTGCTTTTGTTCACTCTCCACTGCCATTAAGTAGTTAGGGGTTTGCTTTGGTTTTGTGTTTTGTTTGCAAAGTATATTTTTTATCTACTAGAGGCCTGGTGCACGAATTCGTGCACAGGTGGGGTCCAGCCAGCCCACCCCATGGGGGCCCATTGGACCAGGCTGGCAGGGGGCAGGGGCCGTGGGTGGTTGGCCAGCCAGCCCCGCCCCGATCGGGGTGTTGGGGGCTGATTGGGGACCAGGTTGGCCGGGGGTGGGAGGGGGGCCGATCAGGGCCCGGATCAGGCTGGTTGGCTACCACAATACGAGTCATAGCCACCAGTCATTCTGGTCATTCTGGTCGTTCCACCGTTCCAGTCACAGGGCTTTTATATATATAGATGGAAGTGGTGATCTGGTAGAAGCTCATTCCTGACTACTCATTTTTGCTGTAACTTCTAAACCTGCAAAAGTTTGAGTAAGAGTTCTGTTGAATACTCTACCCCAAAAAACTTGAAAACAAGTACTTTCTGATATGAGAGGGATATAAAAATTATCAACTGCCAGAACTCTGGGTATGGAAAGAAAGACTAATGCAAGACAGATTGTACAAAGTCTGCTTTGTTTTATTGAGATTATTTTAGCTTCAACATGACCCTTTGCCTTTGCCTTTGCCTTAAGAGAACTCTGAAATTTTGATATATGTCAACAAACCTGCTTTATCTTATCCTTAACTCTGGTCATTTTATCAACATTTTTGAGGCTTTCCCACCTAAAAAACATACCTTTTAACTTTAGGAAATCCGCAACATACATAATGATGAATTAATGGGAATCAGGAGAGAAGAAGAAATGGAGATGTCTGATGATGAAATAGAAGAAAAAACAGAAACAAAAGAAACTGAGGAATCAGGTAAAGATAATTCTGCTTTGTTTTATTTGAATAACATCTACTTGCAAGGATGGTATTTTTTTAAATATATTTTATTGATTTTTTACAGAGAGGAAGGGAGAGAGATAGAGAGTTAGAAACATCTATGAGAGAGAAACATCAATCAGCTACCTCTTGCACACCTCCTACTGGGGATGTGCCCACAACCAAGGTACATGCCCCTGACCGGAATCAAACCTGGGACCCTTCAGTCCTCAGGCCGATGCTCTATCCACTGAGCCAAACCGGTTAGGGCAAGGATGGTATTTTAAAAGCATTAATACCCAGTAAGTGATGGGCACAAACCTATCAGATTGAACTAGCTAAAAACAATTGGTGAGGACAGGACCTTACTGTGAGACAGAAGCCATGGTGTGGGTCCACAGTGGAACTCATAAGACAAACCTGTTTAACAGTATAACACCCTGCTCTTCGATTTGCTATCAAATTATCTTTGAAGGGGTACCATAGGAGAGATTAAAATATCAGCCGAAAGGCCAGTGTTTTCATGTAAACACTCCAGAAAACCTTAGGAGTCAAAAATGTACAGTGGACAAAGCACCAGACCTAAAGTTAGAACACCTGATTTCCAGTGCCAATTCTGTTCTTCTTGACATAGAAAGGACTTCTTTCTCACTGAGCCTCAGCTTCCACACTTGTAACAAGTACATTACAAACAGGGATTTTGTGGTGGTTAAAAGAATTAATTTATTCATTTAATAATGATTACATGCCAAGAACTGTACTAGACATTAGAGATATGGTAGTATACTGCCCCTATTGTGTGTATGTATGTGTATGTAAAAGAAGAGAGGGGGGGGGGAGGAGGAGGAGGAGGAAAGAGGAGGAAAGAGGAGGAAAGAGGAGAGAAGAGAAGAGATCCCAGATTGGTTATCATGAAAATCAGAATTTCTTTGTTCCAGCACTTGCATATCGAAATCAGCAGTTCTATAGCCACTTGAGTGATCCTAGAATCTTCACTCCATGAGCAGAAAATCTTAAGGAGAGAAAACCACCAAGACAGACTTTTTAAAAGACATTCATTAGCTGTTACATCTGAATTTCCTCTATTTAGGCCATATGTTATATCCCTAACCATATAAACCTACATATACATTGAATGCATCCTTTGTATTAAGTGAATACTTAGAATTTTCAGAACAGTTAACACATACTAATTACTGCAAACAGATACTATAAACGTATAACCAAGATAAACAAAATAATATATTTAATGATAATTGAGCTATTCAAATTATTTAAGTACTTAGGATGTTTTAGAGGTGATTAATTTTTTATTTGTAGGATTGTCTCCACCTAAGAATCCTGTAGTATTGTATATAGTGTTAATCCAGTGTTACCCTTAAATGTATACAACCATAAGTTTGAGCATCCACTTGATAAATTGCTGAGTTTGAGGAGTCATTAGGGGAGGAGAGTGGTGTATGGGAGATTCAGACTGAATGCACTTACTAGGGTTATATAATTGCATTTTACTCTGTATCTCTTTTGAGTTAAAAGCTGTATTGGCTACTGCACAGAATCTTATTCATTTAGAGACAAGAAACTCCCTGACAGATCATCTTATAGCTATTTTCTTTCCTGTTCCACATGCCAGGATGTTTTGTCAAATAAAGCTATCTACAATAGACTTAATGGGCCTTACCAAATAGCTTTTCTCCCAGAAGGTTTCAATTCATTTTAATTCCAGGACTTTTGCGCATTTTTCTCCCCCTAGATCGTATCTAATTGTGTTATCTTGCTTCTGTAGTATTCAACTACAGAATTCCTGTTCACTATGAGCTAGTAAGCAGGTCCTCAGTTTTTATCTCAATCAGTTACATTGTAGTTGTCACTTGGTTCCAATTAAAAGCTTAAGCAACTAGATCTCCAAGTTGATTTTTTTTCCTCTCTCCATGCTACCAAAGTTGAATTCCAGGAGTCTATAACCTGTTTCTGGTTAAATTTTACTTCCCAGGGAAACTAAGAGTCAAAGCTAGCCTAGCAGTTTCAGTTACATTTCCTTGGAGTGCCACAGAATTTCTGTTCTTCAAGGTACTCTATACTTGCCAGGCCATATTTGTGATACACTACTGGAAATACCCTTGCCATAAAAGAAAGGACTTCTGTGTTCAAAGGTTGAAAAGGTTGAAGAAGAAAAATCAAATCAAAGCAAATCATCGTAGTATGAAACTATTTCATTCTGTTGTTAGTCATGATGGAAAATACATGGACCCAGTAAACATAACAACAGCTGTTTCCTTTCAATATCTATCTTCTGCCTTGTTCACTAGTGGTTCTCAGATTTGGTATATATAAGAATCATTGGAGCCCTAGCCGGTTTGGCTCAGTGGATAGAGCATTGGTCTGTGGACTGAAAGGTCCTGGGTTCGATTCTGGTCAAGGGCACATGCCTGGGTTGTGGGTTAGATCCCCAGTGGGGGGCATGCAGGAGGCAGCCAGCCAATGATTTTCTCTCATTATTGATGTTTCCATCTCTCTCCCTTCCTCTCTGAAATCAATAAAAATATATATTTTAAAAAAGAAAAAAGAATCATTGGATTTCTTTTAAAAATTTCCATTTCTGGGCTGCAGAATCTGATTCAATATGTCTGTAATAGTGTTTGGTAATCTGCATTTTACCAGGCATCCTAAATGATTTGGTTCTCAACCTGTGGGTCGCGACCATCGGAAAACACATATAGCATATCAGATATTTACATTACGATTCATAACAGTAGCAAAATTACAGTTATGAAGTAGCAACGAAAATAATTTTTTGGTTGGGGGTCACCACAACATGAGGAACTGTATTAAAGGGTCGCAGCATTAGGAAGGTTGAGAACCACTGATTTAGATGCTAGTGGTCCAGAGAGCACATCTGGCAATCATTGACTTAGACTAATTCTCCTTCTTTGTTCTAGCCAAGTTTTCTCTTCCCAGTCTCCTTCCTTCTGTCCTCAAACCTCCCATTATTCCCACTCAAGGAGTTTTATCAATTAATTAACAAGTATTATATCTTATAAACTGATAGAAATAGAGATATAATATATGTAAATCCACATAAAATATAAGAAATATCACTTGGTGCTAACCTGGAAGTTACTGATTAGAATGTAGTAAAAGGCAAGAGATTATTAGCATGGGTCACAGTATTCACAGTCAGTGAAAGTTGATCAGGGCCTTGAAAGATGAATAGGTTTCAATAAGAGGAAGAAAAGTAAGAAAGCATCTTGATTCAGAGAGGGAAAAGGAGAAGGAGCATGGATCAGAGAGAAATAAGGATGATGTATATAGAGGAAGAAAAGATTGAGTGGATAAGATGGGTTCAGATTATGGGGGACCATGAATGTCAAGCTGAGATTTAGCATAGTGGGTAATATGGCACTATAAGCATGTCTCAACAATGGCACTAGTATGATAAAAGCAACATGAATTATATAATTTAGAAGATAATTTTGGATTAAGAGAGGCCAGCCAGAGACTTTTATAGGAATTGAGATATGACGTGATGAAGGTTGGGACAAAAGTGAAGGCAACAGAAACTTGTTTTAAAAATGGTAGAAGAAAAGGAAACAATAGAAAATATGAATTAAAGATGCTAGGAGTCATTTGGGGGAAATAAATGAAAGTCTTTGGTGCCAGATTGGCTATAGATGATGAAGAAAAAGAAAGAACCCAGAATGAATCTAGGTTTTCTATTCTGGGAAATTGGAAGCTTGGTAGTTGCATTAGTTCTCTAAAACTGTTATAATAAAGTATCACAAATAGAGTGGTTGAAACAACAGGAATTTATTTTCTCAATTAGTTCTGGAGGCTAGAAATCTGAGATCAAGGTGTCAGCAGAGTTGGTTTCTTTTGAGAGTTGTGAGAATCTGCCCCACGCCTCTCTACTAGCTTCTGGAGGTTTGCTGGCAATCATTGGCCTTCCGTGAAATCAGGGTTGAAGAAAGTAGGAGTAGAAAATGGTAATACATAGATGTTCGCTGAATGTGAGTGAGTGTGAAAGACAAATGAGAAAGAAGAGCAAAAGGCTGAATACAGAACTTTGGGGGCTATCCCCAGTAAAGTAAAAGAAAAGTAAGAAGTGAAAGACCCATGAGCAAGGACCACCTTGAGTCTGTATTGACCAGGAATGCCCAGCTCTGCAACTTCCTATGAGAGAGTCTTCTGCAGCTCAGGATAAGAAGCAGAGAAACTTGAGTCAAGTGACCATGAGTTAAGTTAGATAATGGTAAACTGTGCCAAAGGTTTTCATGGAGGGTGAAGAAATTTGCTGACTAAGGAATTTTCAGTGGAATCTGTTTAGACAGAAAGTAATTAATGGACTGGATGAAGTTGGCCAACTCCTAGAGATTAGAGGTTACAGTAAGGAAGAGGGTGTCTTTGGGTGATGAGGGGCATTGAAATAATTCGTAGATGACGATATTATGTTGGAGATGGGACTTTAGAAATATCAGAGTAGAAGCAATGAGGTCCCAGCTAGATCCATGCTGATAGAAAGCTGATCGGAGTAATGGCCTGCAGAGGCAAGAAAGCAAAGCATCATGAGGCAGGAAACTCCACTTGAGATTTTATCTGAGCTGGCCTGCAGCTACTCCCACTGGATTATGCTCATATCATCTCCCTCTCCTTTCTTCACATCCTTTGTTCTTTTTGTCATTTTCTCTTTGTGGATCATTCCAGCTCAAATTTTTGTGAACCTTTAGGGGAATGTGACCCATTTTTCCTTCTCTAATTTAGTAACAATTTTTTAGTATCTCTTATATTCTGGCTTTGTAAAAGTCAACTCCCTGAATTTGCTTCTATTATTTTGTTTTGTTTTCTTTCTACCATTGAAGAAACTTATGCATGAATATTTTAATGGCACAAAATCCTTTTAGATTTTTTTGTTATAGAGAAACATGTTTGGGATTTTTACTCTAAATGGCTCCTCTAAGAGGAGTTTGCAACTGCCTTCATACTTACACATTTTCATGACA